AAAACCAGACACAAATCTGCCTCCATTCGGGGCTCTTTCACAGCAAACAGCACCCTAAGACACAGAGCTTGTGCTTTTGTGTAAACACACTGAGCTGAGCTATTAAACTCATTAGCATATATGAATATGATATAGGCCCCCACATCGGGAGCAGCACTGAACACTTCCCATGTCCTTATGCAACCTCTGCTGAAGCCTCTGTCATCCAGCTGCAGCACTAATTGCTTCCAGGATGACAGATTTTTAAATTCTTCTAGCTCGAGAGGCTTAAGTACTGGGCAAAACAAGTCCCAGTTTTTGGAAGCAGCTTTGAGAATTCCAAATGCAATCCCCCCATCTCAAACTCAAGACTCACATCATTTGGGGCTCAGCTGACTCGTCCACATAGGGGGTGAAACTGGGCAGTGGGTGGGGCACCTCCAAGGCAGAGCTCACCGCGCTGCGAGGACGCTGCGGAAGGAAAGGCAACATTCACAACACAGGGATTCATTTCAGTCTCCACATCCCTCTGCGGTCTGCAGCTCCCTTTGCCTCATCTTCTGCTTATCTGGACCTTTTCTTACACAGAAAATTAAACCTGATGGAGACTTTTGCAAGATTAATTCCTTTGTGACACAGTCAGTGCCCACCAGCTGAACACTGGCACCTAAAAGGCTCCTCCTGTCCTCACCAGTTGCTCTCATTCTGAGTGTTATCGGTAATAAATGATAAGGCCGAATTAATAACTAATGAAATAGGTTTTATTTTGTGACGGAGATTCGGCTCCAATAGCCACAATCAAAGGGACAGCGTCGAGCCTGGGATCAGCACTGGTGAGCTCCGATCCCAACTCGACCACTTTGGATCCCCTCTGTTCACCAAGGCTGTTCCTGTCCAGGTAGTTTTTATACAGGTTTTTCTGCCTGGGGAAGTCTTTCATTTCATGCCTTCACATATTCATGTAGTCTCCTTTCTCTGTGCTGGACAAAAGCATTTGTGGCAAGCGATGAATGCTGCTCATGCATTGACCGCGTTCTGGGAACCTGGCACTGAGGTGCACACCCAGGACTCTGGCTATGGATCGCAGGTACTGACCGAGTATTCATGGCTTGGGCGTTCTGGGCTGTCCCGGGAAAGGCCCATCTCCATCGGAGTCTTTCCCTTTGTTCATGAGGACTTGCTCTCTGCTGCCATCTGTGGTCTCCCAGTTTTGTGAAGCAATCTGGCCCCCGCTCCGGCTTGTGGGTTTAAAACATTAAGTATTTTTCTCACAAGCATAACTTATGTCCTGCATATTTCACGTAAGCACAGATTATTCCAAATCATATATTACATGAGGGAATGTTTTGTACATATTGAGGGATAGATATACACATTATCCTGGTCAGGCTGGGGGACGCTGCGGAAGGAAAGGCAACATTCACAACACAGGGATTCATTTCAGTCTCCACATCCCTCTGCGGTCTGCAGCTCCCTTTGCCTCATCTTCTGCTTATCTGGACCTTTTCTTACACAGAAAATTAAACCTGATGGAGACTTTTGCAAGATTAATTCCTTTGTGACACAGTCAGTGCCCACCAGCTGAACACTGGCACCTAAAAGGCTCCTCCTGCATGTCCTCACCAGTTCCTCTTATTCTGAGGGAATGTTTTGTACACATTGAGGGATATTTATACACATTATCCTGGTCAGGCTGGGTATTCCTTATTTTGCACAGATGCCACAGTTCTCCTTTTACAGCCGAGATTGTCCCAGTTCTATGATAATATTCATTCCCTGTCCACCAACAGCCTCCAGACTTGGAGTTTGGGTTTCGCAGTTTCTGAGGTCCATTAGCAAAGAGAAGAGGTGGAATTTAGTCAGGCAACACACCACTCTCATCTGCCTATTTCAACTGCCTGAGACTCTTCAGCACAAAAAAAGTTACATGGTGGGAATACTTCACAAACTCACTCCTGTTTTCCATCATTTCCCAAACTGCTTCCTGAGGCATCTTGATACCAGCAGTAAGAGAAGCCCCTTCTTCCCTCTGCAGGTTTTCATGTGTCAGAGCATTCACCAAAGGTTATTCTTGCACTGCCCTTCAATGGAGTGGAATTAAACATCCTTGCCTCTTCTGCCAGACCATCAGTTCTGAGCACTGCTTTTTGCCATTGTGTGTACCTGGAGCCTTTCAAGGAAAGCTTTGCTTTCACATTACCATTCCAACATGCTCTGGAAAAGCTTGTGTTCCAGCTTGTGACCAACAGGACAGACCACTGGGACACAAGCATCATAAGGTCACCCTGGCACAGCCAGGCATCAGCCTCGTGACTTTCTATTCTTCTTTGCTCAGCTGCAAAGAACAGGGCAGCACTGGGGCTTGTCTGAGCACCTGTGAGACAAACCTGATCTCACAGGATTCATTCCCTTCACACAAGGTCTTCCATCCCTTCTCTGCAACAGCCTGAACACCTGTAGCACAGCTGCTCCTTTTCATGTTTAGTCTAAGCCATTGGAAGCCACTCTCTGTGTCACCCTATTGCCAGGATAAATATTCCATTGATACTGCACTTGAATCCTTTTGATCTGCACTCCCCTGTTTTCCTCACAAGCACTTCAAAACACGACTTGCAGAATGCTGTTCGTGCCTTCTGTGCACAAGACAGCCAACAAGTTCCTCCTTCAGCTTCTAGTTTCCAAAAGAATTCCACTCTAACGCTTCTGTCTCACACATTCAACTAATGCCTGGCTTCTCTCCCCTTCCCTGGCTCATGTTTTGCCTCTTGCATTCCTTTTCTGCCCTCCCAACATTCCAGCAAGCCACCTCTGCCAATTCTCTTGCTTAGCAAGAATTTCCTTTTCCTGATTTTAAAACTCCACAGAGTTTTTAAACTTTATTCAAGCCATATCAGCCTGCTAAATGTGAACAGAGTAGACACGGCCAGGGACTCTTTTGGAGAGCAGCCATTCACAAGGGCTCATTCATAGTGACAGGACAAGGGAAATGCCCTTAAGCCACAGTTAGGTGGCTTTGGATGACATATTGGGAAGAAATTCTTCCCTGGGAGGATGCTGAGGCCGTGGCACAGGTTGCCTACAGAAGCTGTTGCTGATCCATCCTTGGGAGTGCCCAAGGCCAGGCTGCATGGGGCTTGGAACAACCTGGGCTAGTGGAAGGTGAAACCAGGTGATCTATAAGGTTCCCCCCAACTCAAACAATTACACAATTCTATTATGAAATCTGTATTTACAATAGACACAAACCACAGGCAAGGGAGACAGAGACAATCTCTGTTTCAGCAATCAGAAGTCATCAACTTGCACACACCCTCCTTTCTTTTCCCCATCCATTTTGAGCCTCCTTACCCTGCCAGAGTTCCACGGTCCTGCGCGGAGTTCATTCTCCTTGGCCCTGGGAACTGGAGGTGCTGGCCATGACTGTGCTGTAAGTGTGGGAATCTCAGGTCCAGACACAGAATTTTCATCAAATACGGCAAAACTTGGAGCGTTTGGAAGCTGTAGAGAAGCCTGAGGCTGGCAGCTTCTGTTTGGGTTCATGACTATTAGCAAGAAGATTTATATCAATTAACCTTCAACCATCACATTCAATTGCAAATCTCACTATAAAGGGGTTAAACTCCTTCAGTAACAGTTTTTTTAGCTCTTTAATGTACCTTTAACTGCATCTCCCACACGACTTATGGGGGCTCTCACTTTCTTCTTCCCTCTGCCTTTGAGATCTGCCAGCGAACTTCTCTGAGGCTCCTCAATTCCCAGCAATCCCATATTGTCTCCATCAGGACTTTCCTCAAGTGCCAGTAGTGTCTGCCGAGAAACACGGGCCTGAAACTGCCTAAAAAAAAAAAAAAAAAGATGGGAGAAGTCAACATAACCTCCCCTATCCCAGGAACCCAGAGGAGCACCTAAGTTCTTCCCTTACTTGTGATGAGCCTGGAGTTTGTCCAAAGGCTCAGCCTTGCGCTGGAGTCCTTCCTGGAATATCAGATCTGCTTTCCTGAAGCTGCCCCTGGCCTCGTGTGCCTCTGCCCAGGTGATGTAGAGCGGGGCCAGCGTGGTGCCGATCTCCTGGCTGTGCAGGTAACTGTACAGATCCAAGGGCTCGTTGCAGCAGTCGCCCTGAAAGGACCCAAGGATGTCTTTAATCACACGGCACTGCAGGGGGGTCCCGCTCAAAATCCGCATTTCGACGCCTCCAGCAAGACTCCAATGATTTCAAGTCTGACAGGAACAGTTCTAAGGCCAGTACACAGAATTTATCATTTCTTATTTGAATGTGAGGTAATTCAATGGTTGAATTGCACCATATTAGTATTCCTGAGAATAAACAGTTATTTTAGCTTCAGATGAAGTATAGCACATTCCTTGTCACTTCTGAAACTGGTAGACTACCTCAGCAAGCTAAAGCTGGGGAAAAATTGCTTTGTAAAAAATGGACAACAAAAATTATGGCAATGGAGAGACAGGACAGGACCAGAACACACTTAGCTTGCTTTAGAGTTTAAAAGGATAGGGAGAAAATACAGCTAGAAGCTAAAATAACTGAAAGGACAGATATATTTTAGATATTGTATCTTTAAATCACCTCTGTTTCTCCTTAAATAAATATTTGAACTCTATTTATTCAAGGCAGCTTTTACAAATCAAAAACTTCTATAGTTGGTAGCTGTCCAAAGTGAACAACCCAAAAAATAGTCTGGAAACAAGAAACAGAATTCAAGAGTAACATTTGCAGAAAAATACATCCAATATTGCACTCGTTTGACTCCTGTCACCAGAATCAACTTAGCTGTGTGCACACAACATGACAAGGTCCCAAGGAACAGCAGCACCCGAGAGATGTTCCCAAAACACTCACAAACTTGAGCCAGAGATGAAGATAGCGAAGATCTTTGTAGTATCGCTGCTGCCCGTGGAGGGCTTGCACTGCCCTTTCCAGAACTGCTGCCAGGTTGCCATCCTTGCCACCCCCAGGGAAGGCCTGCTCTGTCCACTTGATGTACCTAGAGACAGAATGTGTTCACAGCAAGTCAGTTCTTAATAAGAGTCTGTAAAATAGAAAGAGATTAAGAACAATATAGGCATAACATTGAAAAACAATATAATATTTAAAAGCAATTATAAAACTTAGCTTTCAATGAGTTTCTTATTAAACTAGAATGTGTTTCCCTTGCTTTTACAAGGATATGTGACCATTTAACTCTTTTTTCTGAAATAAAGAAAAACTTACCGCTCCCAGACATCCAGAGGATCATCTCCAGAGTAAAATCGTATTTCTGCTTCAAACTCCCTAAAACATAACATTATTCATCCAATAAATACATTTGCATCACTGTAAGTTGATCTTGTGAATTACAAATTAAGAGTTAATTATGAATTAAAAAGCACAGCCAAATCTCCCTAGTGTTTGCTGCTTAAATGCTCCACTGCAAAATGAAAATTTGAAGTCTGTGCTACACAACACCTGCACTGAGTAGTTCTAAAATCCTAGAGCATGGTAATAGCACAGACATCAATTTCTGAACTTATTTTATGCCTTTTTCAATGCCTATGAAATGGGTACAGATTAAGAAAATAAAGTTAAATTGAGGAGGGAGGAAGATAAGGGGAAAATGAGCTGTTATAACATCACTTACTGTTTTTTAAGCTGCACAGCAGTGTGGCTGGAAGAGTCCTGCTGAGACAGTGCCTCTTGCAAGCTGGACATCACCCGTCCCTGCCTGAGGGGCTGCACATTCTCCTTGCTCAGCTCCCACTCGTGGCTGTCCTCCTGGGACATGACCACCTCTCCTCCAATCCGCAACGCTTCTCCTTTAATCCTGCATTTAAAAAGGAATGGACACCTGTACGGCTGGGTACTGACCTGAAACTTGACAAGAGACAGTTTCCTAAGCCCATTCACCCAGAATTTTCTATGCAGCCAAAACACACCACTTAGATACCCAACTTTTAGGGGGTTTTTAAATATATGAAAAAAAAGCGCCCATCTTGACAGTGAAGAACCGCAAGCAGGCGATATTAGTAGCAAAAACCACTAAGATTAAGCCATCTCCCTCCCCGGTGATTGCTCCTTTCCCTGCCCCGAGACCCCCCCGCCACGCTCCTCACAGCGGCTGCCGAAGGCTGCTCCGGCCGGGGGGAGCCTCAGCCAGGCTCAGCCGGGACCCTCTGGCTCTTCACCGCTTCCACGAGCGGTTGCAGCAGGCGGGGGCACAGCCGAGCCTCGACCCCAGCCGGGGGCCGGCGGGGCCGAGCGGCGGGGACTCCCGGCCGGCACCGACGGGAGGCGAGGCTCTCGGGCCCCGGGACGCATCGCCCCACGCCGGCACCGGGCACCCCGCGCTGTCCGGGCGGCCCCAGCGCCGCGCCGGGCAGGAAAACGCGTCTGAGAGCGCCGGAGCCGCCAGCGCCAAGCGCCTCGTACCCTAAAGCCCCGCACGGATCCCGCACAGACACCGCCGCTCCGCCCGACACACCGCACAGCCCCTCGGGCCGCCTCCGCTCGCAGCCCCTCGCAGACCCCCAGAGACACCCACAGCCCCGCACAGCTCACACACCGCAGCCCTCACGGATCTCCCTGCGCCCCTCACGGATCCCGCAGCCGTCAGTGCCGCGCACCTCACAGCTGAGAGCCCCTCAGCCCCACAGGAATGCCACAGATCCCCCCAGAGCCCCTCAAGCCCTACGCACCTCACGGCTCCCCAACCCACAGGGATCGCGCAGCCCCTCTCAGCCCCTTACGGATCGCCCAGCTCCTCCCAAGGACCCCACAGCTCCACGCACCTCAGGCCGCCTCAGTCCCTTAGAGACCCCACAAGCATGAGCCCCGAGCACCTCACAGCCCCTGACGCACTCCACAGCCCCCCCAGATCCTCCGAGGCCCGTCACGGCCCACAGCGCCTCAAAGTCTCCACAAACCCCTCAGTCCACCCCAGCCCTACAGGCGCGGGCGCCCCTCACGGACTAAACATTCCTCAGTCCCGCGCACTTCTCAGCCCCTGAGGCCGCCTCGGTCCCTCAGGGACACCACAACCCTCAGCCGCCGAGCGCGTCTCACCCCACACGGCCTCATCCCTTACAGACCCGCACGGCCCTCACGGACCCCACAGCACCTCGGGCCGCCCCAGCGCTGCGAACCCCTCCCAGCCGAACGTACCGCTCACAGCTGCCCGCGGCGCGAGCCGCCCGCACCGACACAGGGCCGCAGCAGCGCTGAAGCCGTAACGGCGGCGCCGCCTCAGAATTCAAACCTCTCCCACCTCCCCATTGGCCGCGCCCCGCCCCACCTGATTGGCGCCGTCCTGCGTCGCCCGGGGCATCACGGGAAATGTAGTTCTCGCCTCACCGGCTGCGCCGGCGGGAGATAAGAAAAACTTTTATAAATACTGCACTCGCAGTTAATCTAATTTGAAAAGCATACTCCTGTTCCTCCTCCCATATGTTCCCGCCCTTTCCCTCTGCTAACTGATGGCAACTCGCTGATTCTCCACGTTATTTCTCTGTCTTAAATTCATCCTGTCATTTTTCCTGTGGCACTCACCTCATGCAACTGGCGATGTGTTCCGCTGTAGTGTCACAGAAAACCTCACTTTTTGGGCATCCCTGAAAAATGAATGGTTTGACACTCCCAAAAGTGGCAGGCTGTGTTAATAAGATGCTTAGTCCCATTCACCACCATCTCTCTACAAATATAAAAGAAACTGGTGATTCTGCTTTGATAATGAGGAGAGAAAGCATTTATTAATTTCTCTGCAAGTTACTGGGTTAAAAAATCTTGTAAATTAGTCCCACAGCAGTAATCCAAAAAGGCAAGTGGGCTTGCTATTACCTCTTCAATCGGCTCAAGGCAAAGTGGACCCTGAACTAAAGAAATGGCTCTCTCCACGATATTCTGGTCTTTTCAGAACTGAAGGTTTTCCTTGCACAGGCTCCTTCTGCTGCTGCGTGCGTGCGCTCCTTGTCACTCGTAGGATCCACAGGATTACGAACAGCGAGAGGCTGACGGGCACTTTTCTGGCTACGATCTGCTGAACAACTAAGAGCAAGTTACAGTCAGTTACATATTTGTTAGAGCAGCTTCCCACCTCCAACAAATTCACGCCCCACACATCCATGCAGTTAACAGTTATTTCAGCTGCTACATAACAGATTTGATGCTTCCATTTTCCTTCCCTCTGAAATCCAGGTCTTGAATAATTCTACTGTAGACAAATTCTGATTTGTCAAAGCAGAGGATTCATCAAATATAAAGAAAAACTGGAGATCAGTCTGTGGGGGAAGCAGACCTACATCGGAAAAAAAAACAAGAGGCTTTATTATATCCACAGTTCTTCCAAAACAGTACATCCAACATAAATTAAAATAGTAATAACCAGTCTGAAAACTACTGTTCCTAGCAGGTTTCCATTGCACCATGAGAAAATTGCTTCAAAGACAGGGGAAAAAAAAAGTACTTTTAAGATTTCATCTACGTAATCTAAACCCACATACCAAGTCTGTGCCCAAGTCACTCCGAGCTAACTTAGCCTGGTGCTCAGTTCTGCCCACCCGTCCCTCTCCCTGCTATGAAAAGCCTCTGCCTTGGCAAATGACAAATCTTCATCCCAGTGAAATGGGCATGCCAAGAGATTTACCCTCTGCCGTGGCATCACCGACCTTCAGGAGAAAGAAACAGTCTTACATTTTAAACAGGAATGCAGACTTCACATATTTGTCACTACAGCACGGCACAGGCACGGGCAGAGCCGCTCTGCAGTCCACATGCAATCCCTGCTGCCCAGCACCTCTCAGCATTCCTTGGCTCCATGCAATTCAGACCCCTGGGAACTGTCTGTAGTGCCCAACAGCCTTTCCCACTCCTCTCTCACAAGGAGCCTGTCTATTCCCTGGCCATCATTAGCCACACAAAGGTAGAGCAACCTTGCAACATAATGCCTTTTCCTCTGCTCTAACTAAACCACCCCATCTCCTGGGGTTTATCAGCTTTGCAGGGAGCACTGTACAGCAGCACACTCACTCCTCCACTGCAGAATCATATTTACAGGAAAATGGACGTGTACTAATGAACCAGCCTAACCTCCTGGAACTAAAGAACGAGGTCATCTTTGTGTATAGAGGAGCTGTTGTTGCAAGACGAAGCAGCAGAAAAGTTACTGACAAACACAGGGGTGTCAACCTGAGTAAAGTGACGCTTACCAGCATCTACCAGTAAGATAAGGGAAAAGATGTGTGCCTGCTTGGTGGACAAAGCAGAGCTACCAATTAGACAATGCATGACTGTGTAGAGCAAGATAAGAAGTAAATATAAACAACGTTTAGAAGCACAATAAATGGCTTTTTCTTGATTCACATTGTATCTGCAGTCTTTTTTCAGCTCACTCCACAACCTAAGCAGCACTATTGGCCTAGCAACACTGATAGTTCATTTCAGAATAAAACTCCAGATATGCTGAGCACACAAAGACAGAAATAAACCAGCCACAAGTCTGCCCCATCTGGGGCTGCTTCACAGCAAACAGCTCCCCAAGACAGGTAGCCTGGGGTTCTGTGTAAACACACTGAGCTAAGCTATTAAACTAATTAGCATATATCAATATGATATAGGCTTCCACATCATGAGCAGCACTGAACACTTCCCATATCCTTTTGTATCACAGCAGAGACAGACACAACACTCCAAAGTTCAAGCAGGAATAGTGATCTTTATTGTTCACAGCTCATATTTATATGGTTTTCAAAAGCAACTCATTCGATCCCCATTGCCTGATCACTTGGTGCCATCAGCTCACTGGCCAATAGCTGCCTCCATATGTGATCGCCAAAGATTGGCCAGCATCCATTCCTTGCAGTTAAGTCCTTCCACTTTGCATTGTTTTCTTCCTTAAAGAAGAAAAAGTCTCCCTTAAAGACTTCCTTTTCTCATGGGTACAGGCTCATCAAGTCAAGGTCAAGGTTACTTGTGTCTGTGAGGCCTTCAGGCCAGCTGTTAACCATCATAGTTCCCCCTTTTTGTATTTCAACTACAAAGGCAGTTTTCACCATCCTCTCAGAGCCCTTTGCAGGCAGGATAACAAACACAGCACAATGAACAAAATAATTATGGTAATACAATAAATGATAAGCCCACTTGGAATGAGGCTCTTTACCCAGCCTGATAAACCTAACTCTTCCAGCCAGTGATCTATCCCAGAAAATCCTCCACATAACACATGCCATCAAACCCTTCACAACTATGTCCATAAGCTAACACAAGAAAATCAACAGCATGCTGCATGATATCTACATCTATAACCAAAGCACTCAAAATTAAGGAAGTTTCATTTACTCTTTTGGCTACAAAGCAAGGCAATCTATTTAATCCACAAACTATTGGAGGTAACATTTTGCTTTCCTGTTCCACTTCTGTCCCACATATCATGTTCCAGTGTGCAATTAAAAAATACACATCCTTCTGCTGATAATGTCCCTAAAATGTTTAACTCTTGGGGTTCAAGTGAAGCAACAGGTAAATTGTCATACCAAATATCCCATAGCTCCCTTCTGGGGGTTTTAGTATTACAATTGTTCTGGGAAGAGCATTGCATTTTGACATTTTGTGTTACTTGTATACTTTGTGTGCCGTTCAAGGGTGCCCCCACTAAGCAGCTGTGAAAAGGTTGTTCTGGTTGTGCCATATAGACACACAAAACCACATCTGATTCAATGCATAGAGCAACTGATACCCAAACATTGTGACTGCTCCACAGTGTCAGCTGAGGGGCCCTCAGGGAGGTTGCTGGTTGTGACCCAGAGCAGAGCCTAGAGCAGGGCACACACACTGGGCAGGTACCCATCCAATTCCTGCATCTGCAGAAACACAAGCATACCTGCACCCCCAAGTGACATGGTCCCAAGGACCTTCTCCCTTGTTGGTAATGAGGTCCCATGCCTTAGGCTTGGACAACTGGATATCACTGGAGGACTGCAATGACAAAAAATTATTTCAAATAAGAGGGTTTTGGGAGTTTGGTAATATCATAAGGCATATATCAGTGTATACAGAGCTTTGGCCAGCCTACTCTGTGGGGTTTCACCAGACATTGTCCCTTTTTGTTTTTCAAGAACGCACTTCAAAGTGCCGTGGGCAAGATCACCGATGGCTTGGCCTGCAGGGGAATGAGGAATGCCAGTGAGATGCCACATGCCCCGTAATTGCAAGGACTGGTGAGTTTTCTGTGTGACATAGGCAGGGCCATTGTGGTTTTCACGGCGTGGCCAGCGCTGCAGCAGAGCAGGGCCCGGCCAGTGTCCAGTCACCTGCTCAAAGCTGGAAGCAAAGAGCTTCTCCTGGGGTTTGTTCATTTTCAAATGTGGTTACACAGGGGTGTGTTCAGCTTCCTTAAGTGGTTTAACAAGGTGTCAATATTCAAAATTAACCAGATGATTGGTTCTGATGGGCCAGAGGAAGCTGTTAGCAGTCCTCACAGAGAATCACTTCCGTAACTGATGGATTTTCTCTTTACCAAAAACCAAGCTATGTTAAACAACAACATTTTCCACTCCTCATCTCTGTGAATACACATTTAAAAATTATCAAAATTATATTCAACATGCAACTTCTACTTAGAACAATAAAAATTACTACACTAACCAGAAGGAAAAAATTTCTTACTCTTAACCTCCAACCCCTAGACATTTCACTATAATTACATTAATTTTCCACTATCATTCTATTTAAACTTAATACTTGCTTTGCCCTTTATTTCTCCTAACTAATCATTATCTCACAGCTTTCACCAATTGTGTGCATTCTCCACCAAAGGCTGCAGTGGTTTCAGTAACTGGGCAGAAACACCAATTAAGTGCAATGGTTTTGGTTTGCCAATCCAAGTGTTGCAGCCAGCACACCAATTAATGCAGTGGGTCTAGTGCTGGCCAAATGCCAGTGCCCCCACTAGAATTATTTACTCACTTTCTGTTATGAGATAAGGATTAGGAGGAGGGCAAAACAGGTTTTAACTAAAAAACAAGCTATGTTAAACCACAACACTTGGGGAAGTTAACTCAGGATCACTTTTAAGAATATTAAAAAAGGGTTATAAATGTGGGGTAGTTAACCCTAAATAGGGTCATGTCCAGTTAATGGTACCTAGAAGTTTTTGTGCATCATTTAATGCTTGGATCTTGGTTGAAAATTGAATTGTTTATGGCTGTATTGTCTGGTCTAACATTTTAAATCCTAGGTATTTCCATGGGGGTTGCTGTTGCACCTCTTCAGGTGCAATTTGCAACCTGAACTCTTGCAGTGCTTGCATCAATTTTGACTGAATCTGTAAAAGGCCTTCTTTGCTGCATGATTGACAGAGAACACTGTAAAAACAAATTTGGGATATCATCAGGAGGTAAAGGAACTGTAAAGAAACAGTTTTTTAAATCAACAATCAAAATGTCCCAGGTAGCAGGTATCATAGCAGGGGATGGCATTCCAGGCTATAAAGCACCCATACTTTCCAGAACTGTATTAATTTTTCTTAAGTCATGGAATAACTTCCATTTACCTGATTTCTTTTTAATCACAAACACAGAAGTGTTCCATGGATCTGTTGATGGCTCAATATGTCTGTGATTTAATTGCTCTTTCACCAACAATTCAAGAGCGTTCAGTTTTTCTTTTTCAAGGGGCCACCTATCAACCCACACAGGTCGTTTGGTGAGTCATTTTAAGGCTAATGTAGGATGCTTTACACCCTTCAGAACAGCGGCCCCTGTTAAAAAGCTGTTCCCAGCCAAACCCCCCAGGCTGACGTGACATCCCTTCCCCATAGGTGACATCCCGTCCCCATAGGTGAGTGGCACAGGGATGGACAGTGGCTGTCTGTTCTGGGTTTGTAACTAACACAGGCTTACTACTCAACTAAATTTGTGTGGTACCTCCAAGGCCGGCAACAACAGATCCTACAGCTATGGTGGGCTACGATTGAGGCCATGTGTTAGCAGATATCATAGTAACATCTGCTCCTGTATCTATCATCCCACCAACCTTGATGTGGGATGCATTTGCCTGAGGCATTGTAACAGTACAAACCACGTTTGGTCTTTGATCAGATACAATCTGAGTCCAGTATACTTCAGGTTCCCCCGTCGAGCCAAAGCCTCAGTTTTCTTGCAGCTTTGAGTCTGTTTTAATGACACAGACTTAAAAGGTACAAGTTGAACAGTACGACTTTTAGCTGGAAGGGGTACAGGAGGAGTAGGTGTTGATACCATTGCACATATTTGTCCAGTATAGTCTGCACCTGTAACTCCAGGGTGGACACAAAACCCTGTAACGTTGCTCTTGATCATCCTAATGGTAATGTACTTAACCCTTCCCCAGTAGACCCACGGGCCTCGAGGGGGATTTTATATCCCTTTAATGAGTCTCTAAGTTATAATGCCAGCGACAGAAACATCCATGCCAGCTGATCCTCTTGCTGTCCCTGTGAGCCGGTTGCACAGGCTTGCACTGAAGCACGGGAAGGTGCTCGTGCCTGCAAGCACTTCCCCTTGGCACTCTTGTTCCTGTTTCCCTGTCCACTAAGAGGTTGTCCGTTAGCGTGGAATTTAGACTTGCAGTGCTTGGCAAAATGCCCGGGTTTTCCACATCGGTAACAGCTTCCCACTGCAGGCACAGCTCTCTGCTTCTGACGTGTCCCCAATGAGCTGTACCTACGGGGACAATTTGCTCTCACGTGACCTCGTAGCCCGCATCCATAGCATTGGTACGACCTTATAGCAGCTGCCAAGGAATCAGCTAACAAAGACATTTCGTAAGATACACTTCCAACTTCAGCACACGCATCAATCATTTCATCTAAGGATGGATTTTTTCTTGGTAACAAGTCTATAGCTTTCTTGCAATCTTCATTTGCATTGTCTCGTGCCAATGGCAATATCAACAGATTTTTTGCATAGTCATTTGCTATTTGCTTTTCCATTGCATCTTTTAATCGTTCTATAAACTGCACATAAGGCTCTTTGGGGCCCTGCTTAATTTTTGCAAAACTCTGAGCTGGAGCTGCCAATGCCATGTTTCCAACTTTCATCAAGGCCTGCATTCCTAAATCTCTTGCCTGTGCCAGTATCAAAGGATTTAGGCGTACTTGCAACTGCGGGTTATTTATGGGAGGCAATCCCAGAAGTTCAGGGACCCCTGCCCCAAAGCATGGATCTTGCTGTGGCACCGCTAAATTACACAGCGCTTGCTTTTCTGCATATTGCTTCCAGGTGGACTCAAACACCATGTATTCAATCGGGGTACAGAGCAACTCTGCTATCTGCTTGATATCAAAGGGTGTCATTTCACTTTCAGCTAGAAGCCGCAACATCCTTGTTACGACCGGAGACCCCAGTCCATGTTGGGTGGCTAGTTGGCATAACTGGGAGAGAATTTTAAAGGTGACATGAATATAGGGCTCAGTCCAATTCTCTTCTGGTTCTTGGTCACCCAAGGACAGCGGGAACTTAGGTACAGAAATTCGTTCAGCAACTTTGTAATCTCCACTAGCAAGTGCCATTGATTTCATATGCTGCCAAAAGCGAACCGGATCGTACACTGAGACAGTCCCAGTCGTCCCACTCACAGGCTCTTGGCCACCCAAGAACAGCCGGGACAGTGGTGCAGGAAGTCGTTCAGCAACTTCAAGATCCCCACTAGCAAGAAAATTTAATTTAACATAGTGCCAACATCTAATCCGATCGCATCCGGAGACAGTAGCTGATATTGGTCGCACGGTAAAAACATCCTCCTGAGGGCCAGCAGGGCTGGGACAACTCGGGCCTCCCCTGTTAGGATCCCACAGATCTATTAATGGAGGGGGTTCCTTGGGTCTCTCAGGCTTTGGCTGTGGACACGATGGGATGTGGCGTCCCGCCACTCCGGGTGCTGGCAGCTCCCTGCCGGAACTCTCAGCGCCGAGTGCCGCTCGGCTCCCGGCCCCTATTCCCATGCCGAGGTTGTGATTAGGCCTATCAAGCGCAGGCGGGGCCGTCGACAGAAGTTCATCATCACTCCGGCCATCCGTAGGCAGAGGAGGAGAGAACGGGTTTGTGGTAACCGGAGGTGCAGGACATGGGGGTGCAGGTGCACACGGTGTGGCCGGAGTCGCAGGGACAGGAGGCGTGGATGCCAGCCGCTTCCCTTCTAGTTTTGTCCCCATCCTTTCCACCCGCGAACTCGATGTGGCATCTACTCCCCCAGCTGCTCCCTCCTGAGCTGCACTGTCACTGGGAGTCTTGGCAGGTGGCGCCCGTGGCGCTTCAGCTGCTGTTTTTGCATGTTGCTCAGCTTTCAGCAGTTTCAAGGTGTCCAGCACCAGCCTCCAGGTAGTCATAATATTTTTGGCAGTCTCATCTCCTCGAGAGGCTGATTCAAAAATCAATTCACCAGCCTGTTCCCAGTGTTTAACACTAAATGCAGCTCTTACGCTGGTATCTACCCCATGGTTCCGACACCACTGCAATAAAGTACACAGAGCCTTTTTATTGCACTTTATCCCTCGCTGGCCCAACATAAGGGTCCATATATTCACTATAGCTCTTTCTTCTGCTGCCACGTTAGCTTTTTCTTTGGTTGACAGTTGAGATCCCATCGTCCCTAGTGGCTCACCTTCTTAATTTTAAGCCTCAACCTTCGCAGCACTCCACACTTCACAGTATGCTCCTTCACCCACCGGTGTCTCCTGACTCAGAGGTGCACTCCTGGATTCTGGACTATCTTCCTTCAGTTCACCCTGAGAGAAAGCAGGAGCTGGGACTCTCTGAGCTCCCACCCCGTGAAAGGGCGTTGAGGCCAGGTGGGCAGCCCTGTTAAAGTCACACGTGTCCTCTGGGTTGGCACAAAGGGTCTTGTTCTTGTAGGAGCCGCTCACAATCGCATCCTCACTCAAACGTTCAATTCCATGCAGCTCGTCCTGGAAAAAACAGAAAAGACAGTGAAAGCCTGCAGATCTTATCACCATTCTTTCTTTCTTCCTTTAAAAGATGAACATTTCTCATCCCTTCCCATCTCCAACAAATTCCTCTCAAGAGTTTAAGTCTATTATCATTCCAATCAACCAATTTCTACTGTAGAACTAGCAGTAAGCAACAGAACAGTAGTATACTACAGCTATCCAGAATAAAAGAGAACAGCTTAAATAGTTCTAGGTTGAAGATGAGGAACAGAAGAATATTTCCTCATCTTGCACTCTGAGGAATTAAATAAAAATAACCAATATAACCAAACAAAACACACACACACCCCCATCCATGCAGTTAACACTTATTTCGGCTGCTACAGTAACAAATTTGATGCTTCCATTTTCCTTCCCTCTGAAATCCAGGTCTTGAATAATTCTGCCTTATATTCTGATTTGTCAAAGTAGAGGATTCGTCAAATATGAAGGAAAATGGAACAGCAGCAAGTGGGGGAAGCAGATCTACAGCTGTACAGAGAAAGCAAGAGGCTCTATCATATCCACAGTTCTCCCAAAATAGTACATCCAACATTAACTAAAATACCCAGTCTTAAAAGTACTGTTCCTAGCAAGTTTCCATCGCACCATGAGAAAATTGCTTCAAAGACAGGGGAAAGAAAAGTACTTTTAAGATTTCATCTAGGTAATCTAAACCCACATACCAAGTCTCTGCCCAAGTCACTCAGAGCTAACTTAGCCTGGTGCTCAGTTCTGCCCACCCGTCCCTCTCCCTGCTATGAAAAGCCTCTGCCTTGGCAAATGACAAATCTTCATCCCAGTGAAATGGGCATGCCAAGAGATTTACCCTCTGCCGTGGCATCACCGACCTTCAGGAGAAAGAAACAGTCTTACATTTTAAACAGGAATGCAGACTTCACATATTTGTCACTACAGCACGGCACAGGCACGGGCAGAGCCGCTCTGCAGTCCACATGCAATCCCTGCTGCCCAGCACCTCTCAGCATTCCTTGGCTCCATGCAATTCAGACCCCTGGGAACTGTCTGTAGTGCCCAACAGCCTTTCCCACTCCTCTCTCACAAGGAGCCTGTCTATTCCCTGGCCATCATTAGCCACACAAAGGTAGAGCAACCTTGCAACATAATGTCTTTTCCTCTGCTCTAACTAAACCACCCCATCTCCTGGGGTTTATCAGCTTTGCAGGGAGCACTGTACAGCAGCACTCACTCCTCCACGACCTAAGCAACACCGTTGGCATGGCAACTCTGATAGCTTATTTCAGAATCAAACTCCAGATATGCTGAGCACAGAGTTCCCAAGACAGAAAAAAAAAAACAAAACCAGACACAAATCTGCCTCCATTCGGGGCTCTTTCACAGCAAACAGCACCCTAAGACACAGAGCTTGTGCTTTTGTGTAAACACACTGAGCTGAGCTATTAAACTCATTAGCATATATGAATATGATATAGGCCCCCACATCGGGAGCAGCACTGAACACTTCCCATGTCCTTATGCAACCTCTGCTGAAGCCTCTGTCATCCAGCTGCAGCACTAATTGCTTCCAGGATGACAGATTTTTAAATTCTTCTAGCTCGAGAGGCTTAAGTACTGGGCAAAACAAGTCCCAGTTTTTGGAAGCAGCTTTGAGAATTCCAAATGCAATCCCCCCATCTCAAACTCAAGACTCACATCATTTGGGGCTCAGCTGACTCGTCCACATAGGGGGTGAAACTGGGCAGTGGGTGGGGCACCTCCAAGGCAGAGCTCACCGCGCTGCGAGGACGCTGCGGAAGGAAAGGCAACATTCACAACACAGGGATTCATTTCAGTCTCCACATCCCTCTGCGGTCTGCAGCTCCCTTTGCCTCATCTTCTGCTTATCTGGACCTTTTCTTACACAGAAAATTAAACCTGATGGAGACTTTTGCAAGATTAATTCCTTTCTGACACAGTCAGTGCCCACCAGCTGAACACTGGCACCTAAAAGGCTCCTCCTGTCCTCACCAGTTGCTCTCATTCTGAGTGTTATCGGTAATAAATGATAAGGCCGAATTAATAACTAATGAAATAGGTTTTATTTTGTGACGGAGATTCGGCTCCAATAGCCACAATCAAAGGGACAGCGTCGAGCCTGGGATCAGCACTGGTGAGCTCCGATCCCAACTCGACCACTTTGGATCCCCTCTGTTCACCAAGGCTGTTCCTGTCCAGGTAGTTTTTATACAGGTTTTTCTGCCTGGGGAAGTCTTTCATTTCATGCCTTCACATATTCATGTAGTCTCCTTTCTCTGTGCTGGACAAAAGCATTTGTGGCAAGCGATGAATGCTGCTCATGCATTGACCGCGTTCTGGGAACCTGGCACTGAGGTGCACACCCAGGACTCTGGCTATGGATCGCAGGTACCGACCGAGTATTCATGGCTTGGGCGTTCTGGGCTGTCCCGGGAAAGGCCCATCTCCATCGGAGTCTTTCCCTTTGTTCATGAGGACTTGCTCTCTGCTGCCATCTGTGGTCTCCCAGTTTTGTGAAGCAATCTGGCCCCCGCTCCGGCTTGTGGGTTTAAAACATTAAGTATTTTTCTCACAAGCATAACTTATGTCCTGCATATTTCACGTAAGCACAGATTATTCCAAATCATATATTACATGAGGGAATGTTTTGTACATATTGAGGGATAGATATACACATTATCCTGGTCAGGCTGGGTATTCCCTATTTTGCACAGATAACACAGTTCTCATTTAAAATCAAGATTGTCCCAATTCTATAATATTTATTCTCATGTCCACCAACAACCTCCAGACTTGGAGTTTGGTTTTTTCTCAGTTTTCCCATCAGAGACCATTGCAGCACCATAGAAATCCCTCAACAGTGTTATGAATGAAGTTCTGTATGTCTAATAACATACAGATTACAATTTTGTTGTCTAAACAACAAAATTTAGCAGCAATTTTAATTGAAAGCAATTTTATATAAATGAATACAATCAAGTATATTTAATATAATCAAGCATATAAAAAATTTGGCAGTGATTAATTATGTATGATTAAGGTTTATATAAAGCATAAGCAAAACTGACCAGGGTACAGGGCAGGCTTCTCAGCCTGACTCATGTACAAAACAAAGTAATGCAAACTAAACTTATATACTGTATGCTAATACAAATTCATCAGTATTTTTCCATAAATCTCCTCCTATTTTTGATTCTTGAAATCTATGTCACTGTACTGCATAGCACATGCTCCACTTGTTAGGGGGTCTCCTGGCTTTTCGGTGGTCTTTGCAGAGGAAGGCTCACCGTCTTCCTCGCTGTCCTCTGAATAACCTTCACAGGCTGCACGTGCACACCAAGCTTTGTGTTATGCAAGTAAGCATCATGTTCCAAATAAGCCTTATTATGCCACAGATAAAACCACAACTTGGATTCCTTACCTGGAATCATCCCAGCTTTGTTTAACCCAAGGCAAATTCTGTTTTGGGATCTTGCTCATCTCAATGCTACATCCTGTTTTTCACGTGTAACAAAGGACTTTGTTCATGCCAAGGCCAATTCTGTTTTGGGGTCTTGCTTGCCTCAATCCTACATACTTTATAACAATTATTTTCTAAAACATTGATACAGTTACAATTTAGTTAGCACAAATCATTAGCACACACAGCTCTCATTTTACAGCCAAAATCGTCCCAATTCTATGATAACATTCATTCTGCTCTCCACCATCAGCCTCCAGACTCGGAGTTTGGTTTTTTTTCTCAATTTTCCCATCAGAGGCCATTGCAGCACCACAAAAGCCCCTTAACAGTTTCTGAGGTCTGGCACTGACTGAGAGACGGGGCTGTGCTTGGGGCAAACAAGAAGCCAGTTGATTGTTTCTGCAGCTCAGTTTGTGTACTCCTACAGCTTCGGGTAGAATTTTCCACTGCCAAAGCCATAACCACAATATTTATGTTTCCTGGTAACATTGCTTAGCCACAGTCTTGCGTGATTTGCTTTAGACAAAGCACAACATTCTTTCTGGTTTCTCTTTTACGTTTCTGTTTACTGTTCCCAGGGCTTTGGGCCCACCAGGTGCAAGATGCCCACAGCTTTCATTAACTGTAGTACTTTTTGTTCTACTGCTCAGCTGTCCCTGCAGAGAGGTCCATCAGCAAAGAGAAGAGGTGGAATTTAGTCAGGCAACACACCACTCTCATCTGCCTATTTCAACTGCCTGAGACTCTTCAGCACAAAAAAAGTTACATGGTGGGAATACTTCACAAACTCACTCCTGTTTTCCATCATTTCCCAAACTGCTTCCTGAGGCATCTTGATACCAGCAGTAAGAGAAGCCCCTTCTTCCCTCTGCAGGTTTTCATGTGTCAGAGCATTCACCAAAGGTTATTCTTGCACTGCCCTTCAATGGAGGGGAATTAAACATCCTTGCCTCTTCTGCCAGAAACAGGATATTTTAAATTAAACCTAAGAAATTTCATTAAGAGGGGAGCAGAGACTACTCCAAGGGCAGACATTAAAAGAAATATGGAAGCATTTGGAGATCAGAATGAATGTTTTACACAGCACAAAGAGACAGGTAAAAGAAATTTATATTAATGATTCCTCCTCACTCATCTCAGCTATATTAAGACTGTGATTTACCCAACTTTTCCATTAATTTAATGTTATAAGTGCCTATGTAGTAGTTGGCTCTCACTACTATTTATGATGTTATATTGGATGACATATTGGGAAGAAATTCTTCCCTGTGTGATATATGTTATGGAATAACTCATGCCTGCGTAAAATATACATGGAATAATTCCTGCCTATGTAAAATATACATGAAATAAGTTGTGCCTGCATAAAAATTCTTAAAGATTTCAAAACCACAACCACAGCAGGGGAAAGAGATTGCCTCACCAATTGTGAAATCACAGATGGCAGTGAAGAAGAGAACCTAATAAGCAACGGAAAAGAGATGGGCCCTTTCCTGGGACAGTCCAGAGACACCCAAGCATGAATACCTGACAAGTATCCATGACCAAGACAGTCAGAGTCATCAAGGATGTGCATCCCAATACCAGACCCCCTTAACTCCACCATCAGCATTCACCACTTCCCAGAACAGGCTTTGTCCAGCCCAGAAAAGGAAACTACACGAATATGTATAGCAATGAGAAGAACAAAAGAAACTCTGCCCCAGGCGAAATAAACAGTATAAAGCCAGCCCGACAGAGACAGCATTCAGTATTCTACTGTATCTGTGAGCAGGGGGGATTAGAAGGGGTAGAGTTCGAGTTCGAGTCTGCATTCATCCAGCACCAGGCGAAATAAACAGTATAAAGCCAGCCCGACAGAGACAGCATTCAGTGTTCTACTGTATTTGTGAACAGGGGGATTAGAAGAGGTAGAGTTCGAGTTCGAGTCTGCCTTCATCCAGCGCCGATCCCGGGCTTGACGCTGACCCTTTGATTGTGGCTATCAGAGACCAAATCTTGGTCGTGAAATAAAAATCTTTTTATTGATTATTGATTTGGCTTTGTCATTAATTATCTATAACACCTGGAAGGGTGCTGAGGCTCTGGCTCAAGTTGCCCACATAAGCTGTGGCTGATCCATCCTTGGAGTGCCCAAGGCCAGGTTGCATGGAGCTTGGAACAACCTGGGCTAGTGGAAGGTGAAAATGGATATCTATAAGGTCCCCTCCAGCCCAAACAATTTCACGATTCTATCATTTAACTGTGTTTGCAATACACAAACCACAGGCAAAGGAGAAAGACACCGCCTCTTCTTTGAGGCTTTAAAGTCATCAGTTTAGACACACCTTCCTCTCTTTTGCCCATCCATTTTCAGTCACCTTACCCTGCTAGATTTCCAAGATCCTGCACTGAGTTCTTTCTGCAGGCTGGCCATCTCCTGTCCCTGCCTGAGGAGCTGCACATTCTCCCTGGTCAGGAGGGAGTGGCTGTCTCCTGGGACCTCTCCTTTAATCTTGTGTTTAAAAAGAAATGGACACCTGTACAGCTGGGTACTGACCTGAAACCTGACAGAGACAGCTTTCTTAAGCTCATTTATCCCAAATTTTCTGTGCAGCCGAAACACACCACTTAAACCCCCCTATCGGAAATCTATTAAAAGAGAGCCCATCTTGACAGTGAAGAACCGCAAGCAGGCAATATTAGCAACAAAAGCCACTAAGATTAAGCCATCTCCCTCCCCGGTGATTGCTCCTTTCCCTGCTCCAAGACGCCCCCACGCTCCTCACAGGGGCGGGGGGAGCCTCAGCCAGGCTCAGCCGGGACCCTCTGGCTCTTCACCGCTTCCACGAGCGGTTGCAGCAGGCGGGGGCACAGCCGAGCCTCGACCCCAGCCGGGGGCCGGCGGGGCCGAGCGGCGGGGACTCCCGGCCGGCACCGACGGGAGGCTCTCGGGCCCCGGGACGCATCGCCCCACGCCGGCACCGGGCACCCCGCGCTGTCCGGGCGGCCCCAGCGCCGCGCCGGGCAGGAAAACGCGTCTGAGAGCGCCGGAGCCGCCAGCGCCAAGCGCCTCGTACCCTAAAGCCCCGCACGGATCCCGCACAGACACCGCCGCTCCGCCCGACACACCGCACAGCCCCTCGGGCCGCCTCCGCTCGCAGCCCCTCGCAGACCCCCAGAGACACCCACAGCCCCGCACAGCTCACACACCGCAGCCCTCACGGATCTCCCTGCGCCCCTCACGGATCCCGCAGCCGTCAGTGCCGCGCACCTCACAGCTGAGAGCCCCTCAGCCCCACAGGAATGCCACAGATCCCCACAGAGCCCCTCAAGCCCTACGCACCTCGCGGCTCCCCGAGCGCTCCTCAAAGGCACGGCAGACATCAGTGTCGCGAACTTCACAGACTCCACTGATACCCGAGGGCCCCTCACAGACTCCACAGCCCTTCAGCCCCGACCCCACAGGCGCACAACCCTCACGGCTCCTCAGCCCTGTTCATCTCACAGCCCCTGACACCGCCTCAGCCCCGCACACCTCGAACCCCACAGCACCCGAGTCCTCACCCCCTCACGGACCCCACAGCTCCTGAGGCCGCCTTAGCCCAGAGCGCCGCAGGCTCCGCCAACCCCTCCCAGACCTGCCTCCCAGACCTGCTTCCCAGACCTGCCTCCCAGCCGGCCGGACATACCACACACAGCTCCCGAGCCGACACTGTACCTTTTCGCCAGCAAAATGGTAAACTATTCCCGCCGCTTTAATATTCCAGCCTCTCCCGCCTCCCCATTGGCCACGGCCCCGCCCACCTGATTGGCACCGTCCTGCGTCGGCCCGAGGCATCACGGGAAATGTAGTTCCCGCCTCACCTGCGCCGGCCGGCGGGGAATAATAAGTAATTTAAAAATTAATGTGCTCGCAGTTAGTCTCATCTGAAAGGTATACTCCTGTTCCTGCTCGCGTGTGTTCTCGCCCTTTCCCTCTGCTAGCCGCTGACACTTGCTGATTCTCCTGTCATTTATCCTGAAGCGCTCACTTCATGCAACTGGCGATGACTTCTGCTTTGGTGTCACAAAAGAACCTCACTTTTTGGGTGAAAAACACATAGTTTGCCACTCCCAAAAGTGGCTCCCAGAAGTATATAGCTGTGTTAATGTGATACTTAGACCCATTCATTTCCTTCTCTCCTACAGCATTCCAATAAACAACTAATTAGTCTGACAGGCTGCAGTAGTACACAGGAGAATGGAGTGACTGGAAGCGTCCAAAGCCAGGTTGGACGGGGCTTGGAGCAAGCTGGGACAGTGGAAGGTGTCGCTGTTCATGGCAGGGAGTGGAATGGAATGGGCTTTAAGGTCCCTTCCCACCCGGAACATTCCAGGACTTTATGAATATGCCACCACTGCTTCCAGAGCCGGAGCACGTCCGTGCAGTGAGATCAGTTTTTTCCGGCGCTCGCTGAGGGGGCGGCGGGAAGGGCCCCGGGGCAGCGACCCGGGCCGGGCAGTGCCTCACAGCCTGTCCTGCAGCACCCCCTCGTGGTCCCGCGGGGAACTGCAGCGAGCCGGGCCTGCGTGTTCGGCTCTCTTCCTAAAATCCAACATCCGCAGCGTCTCAGGGGTCCTGTCCCCCTCTGCATTCAGCACCTGCAAACACTGACGGATGAGGCAGCTGCAAAAAGATATTGCCATGGACTGGGACAGGAATATCCTGCCAGGAACATAGATTAGCAGCTACCTGCTGTTATTGGAAGTGTGATCAATAACAGAGATATTTTGTCATAAAGGCAACTGAATGAGCATAAACCAGTTTTTTTTCACAACTGCCCTCGATTTACGGACTCTGAAGGCCTTTGTGATGCTTGTGACTAACGAAGACTAACTCATGAGAGACCCCGGACTGGGGACAGCGGGCGGGGCGGTGCCGGACGGGGCTCGGTCGAGCTGGGCGGACTGTGATATGAGTGTGGTGGGTAGGGGTGTGTGTGTGTCCGTGTGCGTCTGTCTGTCTGTGTGATGGACAGCGACAAACGCGGCTCCCAAGGGGGCGGAGGTGGCCGCAAATCAAGGTCGGCCACGCCCAAGAGGGCGGCCCGGGCCGGAGGTGGCGGAACGGCCCGGACCCGGCTGCTGCCAGCACACAAGATGGCGGATCTGGGCAGGACTCACGTCATACCACACCTAAGATGGCGGCCCTCACAGGAAGTGACTTCTGCCAGGACACAAGATGGCGGACTTTGGGCGGAACTCACATTACCACACCTAAGATGGCGGCTTAGGCGTATGGCGCCCTTTCCAATATGGCGACTGCTCGCGCATGCGCTTTGAGTAGAGCGCAAATGGCGCCGAGGGAGGACGCCGTGCCCAGAAATACGTCCCGGTGGGGACGGGGCCGTTGGTCAGAGGCGCCGCGGGCGAGCGGGAGGCAGCGGCAGGCAGTGGCGGGGCACGCTCTGTCCCGGTCGCTGAGGCGAGAGGTCCCCTGAGCGGGCGCGGCGCGGGCCCGGCTCTGAGGGGGCTCCTCTGAGGGGCCCCGGCCGAGCCCGCGGGGTGATGGCGCTGGGGCTGCGCAGCCGCGCTCACCCCGGTCAGCGGCGGGAGCGGCTCCTGCGTCAGGCCCTCGGGGAGATCGTTCATGGCCCCGGCCCGGGGAAGACATGAAAAGAGAAAATGGTCGAGAAAATAACACGAACAACCTCTTCTGGACGTGGTGGTGTCAGTCAGGGCCCTGCGTCACCGCGAGTCCGTAGAGCCCCTCTGAGGCAGACACCCCCGAGGTCGCTGCTCGGGGCAGCGATGCAGATTTCCCCCTGGCTGTTGTTCTGGGTCAGTAACAGTTTGTGCTGGTAATTGGCGTCATTGCTGCGATATTCCTGCACACAGGGTGCCCTGCACCAGCACTTACAGCTCCTGTGCTCAGGAGAGATTAATTAAGGTCTTTTAGTCCTTGTTATTAATTCAAGTAAGTAATTTTTGTAATTTTTATCAACATACCTGGTCTGCTGCCCTTAATCTTGACAGGGTTGTACTGAGGTTTGATCACACCTTTAAAGCAGTTTTTCTCCCCCAAACCCCAGTTAAACTGACTGAGATCACACATAGGTGATGCCCTGGAACTCCTGGATTAATGTTAATTCTTGCCAAATTATTTTTATGAGGTTAAATTCCAGTGGATCTGTACCAAAACCCAGAAGTCCTGAAGTACAAGCAGCCGTGCTGCAGGACCTGGTGGCAATGCTGTTCCCCTGCCAGGACCTGTTCAGGTGTTCCTGTGGACCATCGGGTCCAGCTGCTGCCCCAGCACTGCCAGGGCCACCCCCATCCCATGTCCCCAGGTGCCACATCAGGAGCCACCCACCAAGTGACAGGAATTGGGGCGAGGGCTGCAGGCGCTGACAGGGTCACTGCTCGCTGCCAGTGGGGCTGGGGCTTCCCAGAGGGGCTCCAATGCCCCTTCCCTTCTCCCAGGCCTTCCCAGGCAGGATGGCTGCTCTGGAGAGTGCAGTGTGCAGGGGGAGCAGCCAAAGCCAGACCTGGGATCTTTTCCCAGCAGTTCAGGAAATCTGTGCCAGGAGCACCTTGAACTCCTGGGTACTCAGCACCTTTTCCTCTGGGTTTTTATGCACTTGGGAACAGATTTCGGGATCTATCACTGAATTCAGTGAATTGTTGCAGCTAGAGACCTTTTTGCTGATCTGAAAGTACCTCTTAAACCTCAGACTCAGCTTGCAGTGTTTTCCAGCGGCACTGGAAACATGATGGAAAGATCCTGTTCAGTGATGGAGCTGCCCATGAGGGCCGGGTCAGCTGGGACAGCCCTTGATGTCACGAGTTCTTCTCTCTCAGGAGAAAAACCACTTGTCTTTCCCACGTGGGATTGACTGAGGCTGTGAAGTGCAATCCAGAGCATCTCCAGGCTGCTGGTGCTTGGGGCTGTGGTGTTTGGTGCTCAGACAACATTCCAGACTGCCTGCTGGGGTTGGATGTGCATTTCCACAGTTACTCAGACTGGGAAAGGCCAAGAGTGTGGTGGGAAGGGCTTTCTCCCAGGCCTGGACACACTCAAGGCAGGGATGATTTTCAAATATTTGCTGTCTTTTGCTTCCCAGCCCAGGGCTAAGTTGGTGTTCCCCAAACTGCATGTGGAGTGAAGAGGTCTCTGTTGGGAGAGTGGGAGAAAGGGACACACTTGGTTGGTGTGTCCTGGGTGGGCAGAGAAATCTGACAGTGCCAGTATGGGTTTGTGAGTGTCTAATCAGTCCAGGGGGCCAGTGTGTCTCAGGTGCCAGAGGTTCAGAGCAGAGGGGAGCAGGGGCTGATGGACACTGGCATTGGATGTTCAGTCATGGCTGGAAAGGAGCAGCTGGACCTCCCCAAGGCAGTGCTGGCTGTGGATTTGGGTCCCATCTGACCACAGAAGGGTGTGGCAGCTGGAGACTGGGCAGGCTTGGGGGCTGTGCTGTCCCAGCCTCTTCAGTTCTTGTCCCTGTTTGTTCCCTTTCAGTGGAAAAGCATCCTTTCCTGGCTGCTTGTTCTCTGCAAACTGCAGGGCTTGGCCCTGAGGTCCCTTGGTGCTGGTGTGACCCACTGTCCTTGTCACCTGCCCTTGGCACAGTCACTGGAGCCGCCTTTGCCGCTCCCTGCTGAAGGGCAGGATCTGCCCAGAGCTGGGAGCACCCAGCAGAACGCAGCCCCTCTTTTCCAGGAGGTGAGAGGTGGGGGGCAGGAGCTGGAAGGATGTTTTCCAGACAGAGGGACCGAGGTCACTGGGAGAATTTCAGCTCCCAGCAGCTCTGTCAGTGCCAGAGGGACTCAGGGCTGGGAAGAGAACAGGGCAGCACTGGGAACCCTGGGACTGTGAATAACTCCAGTGGGAAAAGGAATGAACATTGGAGAGATGGATAAACAATGGGAGGAGCTGGAAGGAGAAAAACTAACCTGGAGTTTCGCTTTTGCTGTTGCTGTGTCTGGCCTGTCAGCTCCAGGCATGAAACTGGACTTTGAACATGTCCATGGTGAGCTGTGTGTTCTGTTCATGGAAACACTGACCATGGAAATTGGGATGTAAAAGCTTGGGGAAGACCAGAGGGTTCATTGAGCCTGCAGGATCATGGTAAATGCTGCCCTGGAAAACTCCAAGTTAAGAGTAAAATATGAACTCATTAAACTCAGCTTTTAAAAACTTTATTCAAGATAAAAAAAAGATGGGAATTACCTTGGTAGAAAAGCACCCCTGAAACAAAGCAGAATTAAAATACCTGTAAGCAGAAAACTCAGGAGAAATGGCTGCTGGCTCCTGGAGTCCTGGACTTTTCTGGCAGGTTTTGTACTGGATTGAATGGCAGTTTTGCCTTCTGGGACTGGGACCTGCATCCCCCTGGAAAGAGAAAATGTGGGAACAGTGCAAGTGGGAAAACAGTGTTGACATCAGCCCTTGGATTCCATTTCCTCCCAGAGGGTCTGTGCTGCTTGAGGTCCAAAGGAAATCAGTCCTGGAGTAGCTGTGTGTTCACCTGTTGAGCTTGAAGGACACACTGGGGATGTGAAATTCCAGGGAAGCTGTCATTGCTGCAGTGGCTGGAGTGAGAAGCAGTGGAAGCTGTTTGCTGGCTGCTCGTTGCCACCTTCTCCTCAGTCCCCGGAGCTCCAGGTCCCCACACATCACTTTTGTTTTTCCAAGGGTTTTGCTGAAGGGTTTCTAAATGTAGCAGTGTGATTTGCTGCAGCTGGAATTTATTTCTGTTTCAGGGGGTGTCTCATTGCGTGGTCTGTTTTTTACCCACAACTGAATCATCCCCTCCATGAACAGTCCATGTTGTTCTACATGGCTGCTCTGGTTATGGGTCAGAGAGAGAAGGGAAATGACTTTTTATGATCTTGAAATTTTTGCAGCAAAAGTGGGATGTCATCTTGCTCCTCCCCAAAGCACTGCAGGCATATGGAAGTAGCTCAGTGCTGGCACAGTTGTCTGAGAAATGACAGCATTTGAGAGGCTTAAGTGTTGATAACAACTCCCTTGTCTCCTGGTTGCAAAGATTCAGTCCTGCAGTCCCAGGATGAGGAGGGAAAAAAGGAACTTCTGTTATTCATGGAAAACTTTCTGCTATTCCTGGTACAGACTTTTAAATCTTTGTATGGTTTACTGTGCACTGTCTGCACATAGAGAATGACTGATTTGAGGTAAAAATTGAGATAATCAGTAGTGGATAGGTAGGGAAAACTTTAGGAGTAAACTTGAGGTGGCCTATAGTGGAAAGCATGAATATTTTGAAGGAAACTGTGGCAATCAGTAGTGCACAGGCAGGGAAAGTTTTGGGAGTAAAATCTGAGGTAATCTCTAGGGAAGAGAATTAACATACTTGAGGTAAAAATCAGGCAATCAGTAGTGAACACATAGGGGAAAGAAACTGGGGTAAAACTGGAGATAATCTCCAGAGTAGGGCATGAATACTTTCTTGTAAAAAATGAGGAAATCAGACGTGGACAGAAAGGGACAATTTGGGGGAAAAACTTAAAAGCAATTCCCAGGGAAGAGAATGAACATCATGTGGTCAACTAAGAGAGTCACATGGGGACACATAGTGAAAATTTTAGGGATAGAAATTGACGTATTCTCCAGGATAGAGAATGACTATTTTGAGATAAAAATTAGATTATTAGTAATTGACAGGTAGGGCAAATCTTGTGGGAAAAACCTGAAATAATCTGTAGGGCAGAGCATGAACCTTTTGAGGGGAAAATGAGATAAATATTTATCTTTTACTTCCCTCTGTGACAAATTAATCTCCACCCTGCCATGAGCCATTCCTTGATTTCTGCTGGAGAAAACCTCAAGGCAGAGGAGTTTGCAGAGGAGCCCAGAGCTGTGTTTGGAGCAGAGAGAGCTGAGAGCTGCATCTGCCTGTGCTGCCCCAGCCTGGCAACATCCTCATGGAACAGCCTGGGCAGATGGGATTGGATGGAGCAAAATCCCTTCATGGAAGAGGTTTTCTCCTGTGCAAAGCAGGCAAAGTGAACTTTGGAAATCAGCTGATTTCCCCAGAAAGCATCACTCCCATCAGCATGAATGACAGGACCTGTGCCCACTGCTCAGGATTCACCCGGCCAAAATCAAGGGCCAAGGTTGGTTTGGGTCTGGGAACTTGAAATAACTTTGAAACAAAAGAAATCACCTTTTTCTTCTTCCTTTCTTCCTTTCTTTCAGATGCTGGAATTGCCTCTGTGGCCAGGTGCTGGGCTCTTGCTGCAGGGGCCTTTCAGGCCTGACTGTCTGTGCAATAACCCCAGGATTCCATGGGACACTCAGGGACTGTCCCAGCTGCAGTCAGGTACGGGACGCCATTCCACACGGATTAAACTGCCATGAGCCAGGGCACTCCAGGGCATCCTGGAGGAGGTGCAGAGAGCAGGAAAGAGACATGGTTACAGCACTGATCCTGCTCCCTGCTTTCCCAGGGGGAATGAACACCACATCATCCTGATCCTGAGAGCTCCAAGGAAATTAACCACTGATGTGGCGCTGAGGATGCCACAGTCCTGACACTCCTGGCCTGGAACCATGGCCCAGCAGCTTTCTGTGGGAGCCTGAATTACTTGTGCAGGTCAGTTCCCCCTCCATTCCTGCAGTCTGGGCAGTTCCAAATGTCTGATCCCTTCCCAAGGCTCCTGCCACAGCCTAGGGAGGCTCCTGAGCACGGCTGGGCTGCGATGGAATCTGCTCCCAGCTCCAGCCCTTGCCCTACTGCTGCACATCGGGCCCAGCCAGGGGAGCTGAACTAAAGCCTGGGAATTTAAATTTTAAGGGAAACAACCCCAAACTTCACTCACTCGAGAGTAAAAAGGTATGCTTGTATTTACACATATCCAGGAAAAACACTCCTCTAGGGAAGTCTTGGATTTATTTTATCAGTTGAACTGGCAGAGCTGCCAACTGCTGCCATTAAGTTCTCCATCCCCAGAAGCCCTGGTGCCCTGGGCCATGGGGTTTTTGCTCATTAGGAGGGACCTCTGGCCACACTCACAGCCTAGGAGTGTACAAAATCCTATTCCTCACTTCCCTGACTAATGAGTATCTTAAAATCCACTCTGGATTGTGCAGAAAATCTCCTTGGTCCCACTTGGAACTAGACATATACAGCTGACTCTATTAGTTATTCCAGCTGAGTAAAATAATTAAGAAAAAGAGAAAACAATTAAACCAAGTAACTTGTGCCTGAAGTTTTCCTCAGGAACTAGTTGGGAGCTCACCAGCAAGGCTCCCAGACAGGTAGAGTGTCTGATGAAAAATATTTATGTGCACATATAAAAAAATATATAAAATATACATATTTATACACACCTATTAAAAATACATAGTATGTATTACAGAGTATCTAACTCTGTAAATACATACTATGTATTTTTATGTATATATAGGGTAGATTATCACAAATTCTGCCTATAAATTAGCCCACACCTGCCTGTTTTCAGGAATGTTAACAGCTTTAGACCTAAAATCAAGCACATGCAGTGCTGTACAAGGAAAATACACCATGATTTTATCCATTAATTCCAAGATGTTTTCCTGGATGTGCTCCTGGGTGTTTTCCTGTAACCTTCTGTGGCTTATCCATTAAGTATACTTGGAATTGTCAGGATCATACAACCCATTTGGAATTGTACTGTCTCTGCAGTATTCAGCAGGCTGAATTTTTTCAGCATTATTTCTCTCAGACAGAGCACATGTCCTCAAGTTGCCTCTCACTTTTTGCATCCTGGAAATGCAAGAGGGAAATTGATAAACGTACAGCTCCACTGTAACAAATAAAATCCACCATTCCCCTTCGTTTTCTCCAACCCCAAACCAGCTTTTAAGCGTGTCACAGAGTGATGGAATCTGTGGAGAGTTTTGTGCAGGAATG